ATATAGATATGTTTATATGCATCTCTCTCTCTATATTTTTATATATATATATATATATATATATATACATAAATATATATATATATATATTTATATATATCTAAATGTATATCTATATATATATATATATATATATATATATATATATATATATATATATATATATATACACATATATATATATATATCTATATATATATATATATATATATATATATATATATATATATATATATATATATATATATATATATATATATATATATATATATATATATATATATATATATATATATATATATATATATATATATATCAAAATCCACACCTATAATTAAAGAATTACCAAATTTAATAATTAGAAACAAAAATAATTATATATTTATTTTCCTCACGAAATTATATATTATATATATAATAAGAAAGTTCGTGCACCCACTCGTCAGTTATGCAATTCGACCAAAAAGTACGAAATCAAGAAGCCACTTGCACAAAGCATTTCACACGAAAATGCTTATACTCTCGATAAGTTAAGAGGCATTTACAGTCTTCACCTATTCAAGACTCAAAATTCGAGTATTTTTTCGTACATTACGAACTAGGTTAAGTAGTCCCGAATATGGCTTACTCCTCGATCAAAACCTATCAGCCGTAACAACCATAGGTTGAGCTTCCGCGTGCTTTCTCGCACCGTAAGGCCCCCTTCTAATTGCTTCCTCTAGCTGCAAAAAATGGAAAAAATAATAATAATTACATAGTCAACTTCCAATTTTATCGAGTCCCGATTAAAAATAATGAAAATTATTATAGGCGGCAATAAAGGATCATTACCTTTGAAGCCATGTCAGCAAAGGCGGGATCTCCCATAAGTTTACTAGACAATGCGAAGACCTTGTAGATTGCTTCGCAGCACCTGTGTCTATTTTCCATTCCTGCCAAGTCATCATATTTATTTATTTATTTATATATGTCGAGAACAATTCAGTGTGATAAGATAATCGCTAAATTATAGATAGTGATCGATTGATGCTTATGTAATGAAATAGAGACGAACCTATCTTATGGGTTTCTCTGTGTGTGTTGGTCACTAGAGCGATTATCTCGGGTTTCGAGATTATCTCCGTCAGACACCATGGTCGAGCCACTAATCCACTAATCACTCGATATCCCTGCATTATATTTATACATCATACAAACAAATTATCGAGATTCAGCGCGTTGAAACATTTATTCAACCCGCGATGAAATACACGTAAAGCACAATAGACGACGAAATGATTCTGCGTCAAAAAACGGAATGTTGAAGAGTTTTCAAAAGAGAGGCTAATAGTTTTAGAATATATTTCTCACCGCAATACGGATTTCGGAATCCTGCTGAAGAACCGATAGGAGGAGACCCTGTAAAAATTATCGACTTTTTAATAAGTAAAATGATACTTTTATACCCGCAAACGAACCTATATGAATTTTTACTTACTAACTCATGAATAAAGTAATAAAAAGACGGAAAAACCAACTTACTGATGGGGTCAGCTTCGATGTTTTGGATGCTTCGTCGTAAATTAGGCTTCTGAGGGTATCTTCTGCGGTACTGTTTAGCAACACGGTATTTCCGGTTCGATTTTCACCGGCAATGTTTCCAAGAGAATGCAAGGCAGCCTGAATAAATTTATATTGATAAATTTAGATAAATATCGATAAATTTATAATTTACAAATAACGAAAGACTGTGTGCTCACCAGCTGTTTGCCATGCTGTTGTCGGTCAAAAGCAGCTTTGACGATATGCCTAGCGGTAGGAGGTGCAGTTGTCAGAACTATGGTTGCTCCTTGGAATGCTGAAACACGGTTAAGTGGAATGCGATAAGATCAGTTACGCGAACAACTTAAAAGAATCGAGGATTAAGGTAGAACTCGTCACTACGTTACTTACATGATCCAATTTGACCCAACGCTTCGAGTGCACATTCGCACTCATCTGCCGCTTGACTTTCCAGGAAGTCAAACCTCCTATCAATAGCTGAAAGAACACTTCTAAAACCTAAAGTGAAGAAAAGGGCAATTAGCAAAGAAATTAATAACTCTCGCATCGATATCTGTGAAGTTCAATGTAACTGTTCAAAGGCAAATTAAAAATAACTTAAGGAATTTCAGCCAAATTATGCACCGTCTAATCTGTGAATAAAGCTAAGAAATCCTCAAACAAACACCGAATCGGAAAGTCAAATCATATTGGAAAAGGGATTAAATTATTAATAAATTAAATAGTTCTAGGTTACTGATGTAATCGAATTTCCTTTTGCATGACTGAATTCGCTTAACTGCAATAATTTCATAAAACACCAAGCATTGCATATTTGCGGAAGAAATATTGTTGCTTAAGACATTAGCTTACTCGATTCATCAATGAATGCAAATGCATTTTCCTTGGAGAGAAACCTTCCGGCTATCATCATTGCCCTCGATCTTAAAATGGAATCTGCAGCGTCGTTGCTAAAGAGAAAAAACATTAAGGATTTGATAAACTATACGCAGTAATGCAGATAAGATGATATCTAATACTGACCTGATTACGGAACTAAGCAGCTGAAGAAGGCTGGTTTTCGACACAAACTCCGCACTGTGTTCGACTTCCGCCAACTTCATTATAAAGTAAAGATTGGAAACAAACAAATATGAGATTCGGGAACTTAATGTTTAGACGTAAAAAATGAAAAAAGAACTGTAAATGAGGATACTGCAATATATACGGATCGGCCATACCTCGTATATAAGTTCCAACACGCTCAAAGTAACTAGAGTATCATTTGTATTTCTGACTTCTGCCTCCAATAGACTCAGGATACCTGATCTCGAGACTTCTGATGCCACTGATCTCGAAGCGGAGAAGAGCCTCACTATCAAGGCTAGAACTCGCACTCTTCCCTTTCAAAATTTACAAACAAAAAACAGGAAAAGCGAAACTCGAAAATCAGGATTCAAACACGCGAAACATTACAGGACAATTCACAAAACGACCTAGAAAAGATACGATGACGACGGACAGCTAAATTATTACAAAAAATAATAATAATTTTATGAGGATTGTGTACTTATGCTCCGTATTTTGCGTGCATAATTTTGCCTGTATGACAGAAATTCAAGGTATGTATATTAAAAATATACCAGTGATGAGCATTTTTCTGCTATGTTTCCCAAGTGAGTAGCTTCAGAAGTGCTTGCTGGTAAGACAATCCCCTGGACAAAGTTACAGAATAGTCAACAGTTGACCAACGTCAAATTATTCACTAATTGACCAGAGGCAGCAATCAGGTACATACCAGGCCTTCCTCATATCCAGCCAAATTTCTTATTGCCTCCGACGATGCAGCAGCCACTTGTTCGTCACTAAAGAATAAAGACAGTTTCTAGTTAAGCACAAATAGAATTCACACATAAAACAAAGAACACATATGGCTAAGTAAATTTAGCACGAATCGATGTCCAGAAAAAGTAAGTATAAATAATTTCCGGAAACTATCAGAACCAGGAAACATAATTATCGAGTTCTCCGAAGTCAGTCCATCATTTGAACAAATAGGTGAACGCAAACCCTAACTGTGCAGGCTATATGAACGAGGTAGAAGTTATTTTCGCAAATGAGGGTTTGTAGTTTCGAGTCTTGTAATATATAAAATGTTTTTATACCTAAAAATTAAATTAGTAAATGACGGAAGAATTTATCGAGAAGCAACTGACACGACATGAGATTGAACTCTAATGTAGTAAATACTGAAAGCTCGAGAGTTTACCCATCGATGCAGCAACTAAGCAAAAGGGGATAAACATCGTGCTGAAGAACTAACTGCACGGCAATCGTCTTATCTGTATTCTCCAGTAGACTTGATATCTGAAAAAGACGATTAGCATGTTAAATCTTGAAATCATATTGCAATTTTCTGTTTCCACTAAACTGAATTGCTTTTGCGTGTAAAATTGAGAAAAAAAAAAAAAAAAAAAAAAAAAAGATCGAATACTTACAGCAATACAGGCTAGGCGCCTCACTTTTTGAGAATCTGCCACAAGACCAACTAAAACGAAAGCCTGAAACATAATATAAATGTAAGTACTTAAGCTACCAAGGATATACAGATATCGTTAAAGCACGGCAGTGATAATTAAATAAGAAACACTAGTCGAGCACGGAAATGTACATAGAATCCATTGTCAAGATTTTTCAAATTTTCAATAAATGAATACCAATGTGTAGAATCTGAAAGAAAAGAGGCTCGTCTTTCTTATGGAACACAAAATTAGAAAAGTAAATCTGGAACAAGAATATCAGATATAAAATAACCACAAGTATTTTACCGAATAGTACATAGAGTAACTTACGAGGTTTCATGCTATACCCAACTACTACATCAAAGTTTTACATATATATTTTAATTTAAAAGAGCTGTGACTGTGATGCAACATCAAGACAGTACCAACATTCATACGAGGGCACAGACAAATAGTTAAGCGTAAATATAATCGATGTAAT